ATTTTTTATTTGAAAAGCAGGACAAAACAGTAAAAAGCACATTTTGGCAATTTAATTAATGCAATGGTGAAAAAAAAAAAAAATAATAAAAAAAAAATAATAAGGCAAAATAGGCCTACATGGGGGAAAAATGTGAAAAACCGTGTTCGGTGTTTGGTATTCGGCCCAGTGTTCCATTTTGTTCGGCTTCGGCCAAGAATTTTCATTTCGGTGCATCCCAATACAATAGTGTAACAGTATGGTTATGAGTAACTTCATTCAAAACCCATTTCAACTGATTCAATGAGAGAGTAATCCGTTTTTGACCAGTGAGTTTATCTGTGACTTGTGAGTGGTTTGATGCATTGAAAAGAACTGGCTCAGAAGAGTCATTCAACTGTAAGATCCCAACCCAGCCAAAACAATTTCTGCTGCTGTACAGTAAACACTGTCAGTGTAGTTCGGTACGGTGTTCTATAACAATAATACATTAACCCAATTATGCAGTTCCTACAGACAATGTTCTAACCACCATCATGACTCATTAAATAAAAACAGACAACTTATTCTACTGGGATTGCAGTTTTGGCAGCAGCTTAGTCCAGTAACTGAGCGGTTCAAGGATCACACCTCCGCACTGTCAACATATTTAATAAACTGCATTAATCATGTGTGCTGAACGGATGCGGATCACCAAGGTCTACTGAACCCTGATGAAATGAGACCACCATTGTTCTAGCAATGTGAAACGGACAGAACAGCCTGCTCTTTTCCGCAGAAGAGCAATGTTTTACTGGAGTAATGGGAAGGGCGAGGTTGGCATGGCATGTGGTGTGGTGCCGGGGTGACTCACAGGCAATGAGCAGAGCATTCTGGGATGAATGAGCAGAACAGTGTGAGTGACGCAATAAATCTGGAGTCTGCTTAAACTATGGCTGTAAATGAGGATATCCAAAAAGCCATGAGGTCGGCCAACCATGCGTCTCTCAAGCCCGCTGAGTGTGCACTTACATGAGCCCCATGACATCCTGCCACCAGTTAACCAAAGAAATCAGTTTTCATAAAGCATTTTTGTGCTTTCGTCGTACCACATGGTTGGATCTCAGGCTGAGGTTGATAGCAACCAGTTTAAATTTATCAAGAAGGGGAACTAATTCAAACTTGACTCTGGCAGAGAGGGAACAATGTTTAACCGTACTTTGAATTTAGTGCCAAGCATCCCTCCAAGACAAATACACAGCAAACCTGATACAGGCCAATGCCTTGGAAAAATAACCCTCACATTTGGATAGAGATTATAGGATGACTGTGGTTAAGCCTACAGAACCTCTTTGTCATGCTGTTAATCCTAAAAAACACACATTTGCAGTCAAAGTAGCTTTTCTTTTGAGAAACTGGCCCACTGAAGCGCCTTCGGGCACTGTAATCCTGTGGCACTTCCCTCAAGAAACCAGTAGTGCTCCTTCATTCAGGCTAATTGAGACAAATCAGCAGTCGCAGCTTGAGTGTCTCTCTCACCAGCTGAGCGCTAAATTCTCTATTTCCAATAAAAGACGAACTGTTCGTTCCCCACAGTACATTAAATCCTTGCGAGTTAAAGTAAGAGTACCAGCTAACAGAAAGTGGAAGTTTTAGCACCATGGGATTCTGGATGACAAAAACCTGTTATTCTCTTAGGTCAAAATAAATCTGCTGGCACTTGCCATCATAATTTGGATGGGCAGTTCCAAGTGGTTTTTTTTCTCTCTCTGTATGAACATGTGCAAAGATAAAGCTCTGAGAAGAAAGAAAGAAAGAAAAAGAAAGAAAGAAAAAGAAAGAAAGAAAGTAAGAAAAAGAAAGAAAGAAAGAAGGAAAGAAAAAGAAAGAAAGAAAGAGAAAGAAAGCGTGAAAGTTCCGAAACTGAAGCAGTAGAACTAATAGAACGTGATGACGCAGAAGAACTCATCCACAATATCCACATTGACCGCCACAAATATCCACCGCCCCCTGCCATCAGCTCCCGCGTCTCACACACACAAGCGCGACTTTAGCACTAGATTTAGCAACTTTCAGACCCTTTTAGCTGCTTTTTTCTATGGTTTTTCTATGGTTCTATGGTTCAGTTTCTATGGCTATGGTTCAGTTCGCCAGTGCTGTCCCGCGAACGCGAGGTCTGACTTTCCCGGAGAAGTGTCACCTCTCTTGGCGTCTGTTCTGTGCAGTGAGCGGCAGAGAAGCAGCGCATTCAGTTGGCCGCACCGCAGCCGACTCGTCAATAAATGAGTACAAAACAGAGTTTCCAAGCAGCTGTCATTCACTGATTGTTTGGAATTATAATTATGAGCGTAGTTCGTCTGTTAATATCACACACACTTTTTTGTTTGTTGTTTTTTTAGTTTGTTACTCAGACGCAGGCAGTGTGCTGCATGAGACAAAAAAGTAATATAGCTAAAACAACCGCATAGCCGCTCTTTAGTGTAGATGCATGTTGATTTTATCAGACGATGCCGCGATTATAAATGAGAGTGACTCCTGGTTAACGTATTAAAAGGGGTCGTGTTTAGTCACTATTTAGTGTGGTATTTTTTGACAATATTCACTCATGACAGTAAAATAGGGCATTCTAAGTCAATATACTGCAGTATTTCCTCTCTCAATCAGTAGAAAATATGTTTAACACCCGGTCATGCATGAAAAAAAAAAATACCATCATGTACCGTGAAACCGGTATAATTTAGAAAAATACTGTGATATAAATTTTTGGTCATACCGCCCAGCACTACATTATACAGGTGCATCTCAATAAATTAGAATGCCATGGAAAAGTTCATTTTCAATTTCAATTTTTTTTTTGAAAAAGTTCATTTTTTACTGAAATAAATGAACTTTTCCATGACATTCTAATATATTGAGATGCACCTGCATATATAAAATTGCAGCCTTGGCAACTGCCTGAAATAAAAGTGAAACACTGTTATGTACTTTAAGTACTTAAATTACTAAAACTAAGCTGAAATAAACTAAAGCCAGACGATAACAAAATACAAAAGCACGTAAAAGCACATAATAATACTAAAATTTAAACTAAAATGAAAATTGAAAATAAAAAAAAAAACAGTCAATTCATGGTATATAAATAAAACAAACAAAACTGCTGTTTATTAGAATTTAAATTACTTTACATTGAAGCATTTAGTAAGTGCATTATGTAGGCTACATGTTCAAAACTAGTGGAGAACATTGTTCGTAACTTAACTCATTGCCATTTCATCAGTAAATCAAGATTTCAACTTTACATCTGTCCTTTTGGCAGCAGCAAAAACCAAACAGCAATTTTTTATTATTATTATTTTTTAATAGATTTACACAAAAGTAGAAAGTTCCCTTTCCATTATAATCAGCAAATTTGTCATTGCAAAAATCTCTTATTTGCGCTGTTGATTATAATAGGACTGTTCTAGTTTTATCATGTTGTTCATCGGGTACTACACTGCACGCAAGTTCTGCAACATCAAGCAAATCCAATATTATTATAAATTACCACAGACTACTTTTTGCTTGGATTCTAAAGATGCTTTTTGAGCGTCAGGTGCACTAATTTTTGCACACACAAAAGAAAGCACACATCTGTGGATCAGACTGCCTGAAACTCATTAGGAGCAGATGTTGTTACTGATAGACTTAGACTAATTTGAGCACTTCTGGTTCACCACTGAATTCATACACACATCGAACATGTCTGTGATTGGTGTTCAAAAGCTGCAAAAATCAGAGGATGTAGTGAGAATCAGTTCAAGTGGTGAAAGAAAAACTGCCTTTAACATTGTAAACTTTGTTAAATCAGAACTGACTAAAGATAAGGAGGACACGGTGGGCAGTCTGCCCATTTTAGTACTTAATTAAATGAACTTTGCTCGCATTGAAGGGTCAGCTTCATTGCCACGTTCACTCAAGGACGCCCTGAAAATCAATCATCCTAAAAATAATTCAAGATGTTAATGATTTGCCAGTCTTTAAAGAGCTGGCATTGTAGTCCTCACCCACTTCCATTAAAAGGCTCTTCTCAAGAGGACATATGTCTTTGTTCATCAGCATGAGACATGCCAAGAACGACTGACCTCATCCAAAAAAGACAAACAGAACTCTATCATGCTACAGCTTCAGATCGTGTCAAGCTTTATGGTGCATTTTAAGTCTCAGCACACTGCAAATGTCAAGCCCATTTATGTTCACCATGTGTTAAAACACAATTCTGTTCTTTCAGCAGAGCAGCCAAAATGATTAACAGGACACGACGCAGGTGAAATATTTTAAAGAACGTCATAAAAAATACATACAGAAATGTCCATGAATAAGTTGGCTGAGTAAAGCAAAAAAGTTCTCTTTGTATGCACATTGTACCTGAACTTGAAATTTTTTTTTTCAGTTACTAATCATATTCTCTTCTTTTTTTTTTTTTGGAACCAAGTCATGTTAATTATTGTCATAGCTTTAATTATTATTATTATTATGCACAGGGCTGCACAATTGGCATTATATACATGGGTTTGGAATTTTTTTTATTATTATTGTGATTATCATTAATGAATAACATAATAATGTGCATAGAGCTGTAATTAACAGAAATAAAATCTAAATCATGATTTGCATGCTATTGTAATTATTAAACTGCATTATTATAATTATAATTATTATTATGCAGAGGGCTGCACAATTTGCATGATATGCATGCTATTGGAATTATTTAACTGCATTATTATAATTATTATTATTATGTGCACATGGCTGCACAATAAATAAAAAACAAACAAATAAATAAATCATCATCATCATGATTTTGATTTTATATTTGATTAATTGCGCAGCCTTGAGCTCTTCTAACTTCTAAAAAGTTGTTCCAGGACCTTTTTTTTCAACCATATAGATCACATGTTGATTTGCCATCATACTCACGGTCAGATGTATATTCTGCCTGCGAGGCTACTGCCGACAACTGATGCTCTTCCTCTGCTTTGGTCGCCATCGCTGCAGCACCATTATTCTCCTGTTGGACTTTTCGAACGAGCGCAGCCAACGGGTGATCTGGATCAATGACCTGCAGAGGCTATAACACATGAAAACATAAGGTCAATGGGCTGTGCAATACTTTCCTCAGTATATATATATATCCCACCCACAAAATGTGTGTAAAGCTGTTTAAAGGGGTCATATGATGCCATTTCAATTTTTCCTTTCTCTTTGAAGTGTTACAAGCTTTTGGTGCATAAAGAAGATCTGTAAAGTTGCAAAGACTAAAGTCTCAAATCCAAAGAGATATTCTTTATACAAGTTAAGAGTTAACCACGCCTACCTAAAACGGCTGGTTCTAACACGGCTTTCACCGTGGACGAAGCGGAGTCCAGCCCGGGGTAGCCACATGTGGTTGCCGCAAGCCCGTCAGATGCTCCTTCATCGAATCCGCCGGCTGCGCCGTTCTCAAGCCCACCGGCCTCTGCTCACTATAGGCCGCCGCCGCTCACTCGAGCCCACCGTGTGTGATGCTGTTTCTCGTTGTGAAAATGAAACTACTTTGTTTGGCCTTCCAAAAGAGGACACGACTAGAAATTAGTGGTTAAGTTGTATTTACAACACTGTTCCAGAACACTTCAACCAAAATATTCAGATGTGTGCAGCGCATTTTATGGATGACTGTTTCCTGATCCTGGTAGAGTAGACTACAATGCCGGCTGTTCTGACTCTCAGACTGTAAGTAAGTTTTTTATATTTAAAGAATTTGCCACTGACGATTCAAACGCGAGTTTTGAGCAGTGTAGAGTAGTGCTTGTTTGTCATTTCTCCGATCACAAATGCAGACATGGTTTTATGTTTACGCGGCGCGATGCAACGCAATGCGTAAAAAGACAGAATAAGTCATTATAATCCGTAATTATGTCCTCACTGGATGCAACAAATGCCTCGTTTATAATGGGGTTTCATGTTTTTGAATAATTGCGAGGGCCTGACAGGGCATCACAGCATGGTAGGGGCGTAACATTTCCATCACACGCTTGAGGTATTCGGCCAATCACAATGCACTGGATAACTGGCCAATCACAGCACACCTCGCTTTTCAGACCGATTAACTTTGTAAAAATCAACGCGTTTCAGAAAGGCGGGGCATAGAGGATAAACAATAATGTACAGTATGTGGAAAAGAATGTGTTTTTTGAACCTGTCTTTTGAAACACATTTCATTACACCAAATACACAAAATAATGTTCTTTTTAGCAACATCATATGACCCCTTTAAACAAAACAGAAAAGATTCATGTGCTTATAAATACACCATATGAAAGAAATAATTCAATAAATCAGGTTTTAAATCTAGCCAGAGCTTTGTGTGGCCCAGTGTTAATTTCGTCAACGGAGACGACGACGAAAAATATTCGTTAACGAACATTTTTTTCTGTGACAACGACAAGACGTTGACGAGCTAAAACTAATATCTGATGATTAAAAACTATGACGAAATATCTGCCACATCTAAGACGAGACGGGACTATAATGTTATTTGAGGATTACCGGACATTCAAAATACATCCTATTGAGGCTACTGTCTTGTCCTACAAAATGTGCGTCCCTGTCATTGGATTGCAATCGGATAAGGGGCGTTTGCATATCTAGTCTCAGTATGGCAGCCGCAGTGGATGGATAGGCTACCAAAATGTGAACTAGCGATCTGAAACAATGGCCTCAGCACCCGAAGGGGTAGGGATAAGGTGACCAGACGTCCCATTTTTCCCGGGAGTCACAATTCGTTGTCGATTAACTTAAAGTTAGTGAAGGCGGGATAGGTGGAATCACGCTGATAGAAGTGCTCTCTCTCGCGCGCACTCCACTTCTTCAGTTCTCATATACAGCGCGCGATCAGTTCTCAGCACTCAAATACACACACAGCAGTCCAAATTAGTGGTCGACCGATATTATTCTTTTTGTTTTGACAGCCGATACCGATGCCGATAAGCAGTTTGACTAAACGTTGACAAAAATGCAATGACTTTTCGTCGACTAAAATTATGAAAGACTCAAATGACTAAAATGTGACTAAGACTATTAAGCATTTTCATCTCAAGATAAAGACTAAGACTAAATAAAAAATGCCTGTCAAAATTAACACTGGTGTGGTCCCTTGGAAGCAATTCATTGTAGCACATTGTTTTGAAGTTTTTTTTTTCAGGTGGCTCTGTTGCAGATCCTTCCAAGCTCCATGCTGAGTTTGGCAGCATTTAGGTCTTTCCCTTGTCCATGTGATCAGACAGAGCTCCAATTGTGTGTGAGGTAGCCAGCATAACACTGTAAGAATCAGATGTCTGACATATTGGGACGTCACTATGAACCAAAGATTTAAAGTCTACACTCATCTCTCCTCAGTACTTCCTGCCACTGGATGTCACTCCATGCTTTATAGACTTTTGCATGCTGTCATCACTTCTGCTTGTTGCCGTCCTGCATGAACGGTTTCTTTCCCTACCCTGCGAGACCACTTCATTTTAGATGACGTGCTGAACATGCACTTTACTGGATTCCATTCTGTCCCCTAAGGAGGTGGCCTTTTAAGTATAGTTCACCAGATGCAGCTTTTTCAGTCTTCCAGTGCATTTTCTGTCTAGTCTCTACAAATGTCTACATGGTATTATGACACCATGCCTTTAAAACCCAATTTGCTGGCCTGTTGCTCACTGTATAACAAACTTTCATTTTAATATACAACATAAGGGTGAGGAAATTATGACAACTTAAATTTTTGGGTGACAAGCTAATGCAGCTGAAGCTGAAGTACTGCTTTTCACCACCAGAGATGCAATATTTCAAGTAAGAGCTCTTGAATATTCATCACATCAGCAGAAATCATTCATCAAGGGCTCATATTTCAAGCTTATAAATGAATGAACTCTTTAGGCAAAAGATTCTACCCTATGGGTATGAATCTGGCTTCATTCCTTACATTTCCATTCATACAGACTAAAGAAAATGTAAAAGAAACAGGGCTCACAAAATTTCAAAATCGCTGGTAGCCCTTCTGGCAGACATTCTTCAGATTTTTGTAGCCCAAAATTAATTTAAGTAGACCGAATAAAAAAAAAAATAAAAAAAAGATATCAGCTGACCTTCACTGTGGACAAATTAGCATGATTAAAAACTTCAGTGATCGCTTTTTTTTCTTCAAATAACAAGTCAAGAGATGTCAAGAGGGGTGCAACGGATCACAAAACCCACGGCTCGGATCATATTGCATTATCATATCAGATTTTGAGTAACAGATCGGGTCATTTTGCCGATGAGCAAAAAAAATTTGTATTAAATTTGTCAAATAATAAAACTAATTTGAAATTTTTAAACAAATCCCAAATCAAATAATTAAATACAAATAAAATAAATATCTTCATATAAACAAACGGATGCTTTGGCTGTGCTTTTTCCATTTAAAATCAGAGGCAACCACTGCATTTTAATCACAATCCAAACAAAGATGCTAAATACATGTTATTTAGATTGCAATTAGATTGTATAATTTCGAAATTTGAAGCAAAAACAGAATGGTCTGATTTTAGCTTTGTGAATGAGATGCAAATGTCACCCTCTGACAGCAGGTGGCACTTATGGAACAGCAGGCATTTATAGGCTGCAGCCCCTTTAAGACCGAATGCGTGGATCCAATATAATGATGCACTTGAGATTTCTTTCTCCACTGTTTACATTCACTTAAGACATAACCGACTGTGTTTACGAGAATACTTGCCCAGAAAGTTATTTTGAGATATGTATGTGTTCACTCAGATGCAAGGATACGTGAAAAAGGGATCAATTCTGTGTACGTGCATTGTCTGAAACGCGGTTCTCTGTGCGCGCTTTGAATGAGTGCGCGCAGTTCTGAATGCGCGTGAATGGTTTAAAACACTTTAATGTTTAAATCGGCAAGACTTAGAAACACGTGCAAACGATCAACAACGATCCGTTTTACCCCTACAAGCTAGTGAACAACACAAAACAAGGAAGGAATTGTATATCACGGTTCAAGATATCCCGTCGGGCAGGGTGGTGAAACATTTGGTAGCCTGACTGGAAAACACAATAGCCCTGGGACGTCGGGCTAGCGATTTTGCGAGCCCTGAGAAAGGACAAAAGTATTCGTATGAAAATGTTTATAGAACCAAGCTCTAAATCACTAAAAAGGAATAGAGCAAATGTTTGTTGATCTTGTGTTTTTATGTATGCTTTACAAACCTAAACATCTGCTTTTCTGGGATATATTGTACATTCACATTGCAATCTCTGATTATTTAAATATGTCAAGGAAGTCATTTAGCTGGCTAATATAAATGAGGTCTTGTGGAAACTGGGAAAATTATTTGTGATAGTCTTCTCATTTAAAATGGGTTGAAAATTATAAACAAACGACCATATGCCATAATATTTCCAGCAAGTCTGTTTATGAATTTATAGCTGTCCTGGAATTTCATTAGAACTGCATAATTTCTTGCTAATTTAAAATCTAACAAACGTATTAAATGTAGATGCTATAACATTTATTAAAATAATTACATTATGATACAACTTTTATATTATAAATGTAATTTCATTACATAGATAACTTTCACATTTTATGAAAAATACATATATATTTCTGAGAAAAACAATGCTGCATTAATATGCTACAATGTTATGAAAAATATATATTTTTCAGAGAAATCATTCAATGATATATATAAAAGCAGCGCAAGTCAAAATCTAAACTACTAGCCTGACCAGACCAAAAAAATAAAATAAATAAAACCTTATCTTTTATGTTTTCAGATTGATTCAGATTACTTTTAGATGCCCTGCAAACTGCAAACTTGATAAAGCTGCTTGTGTCATTAAGAATGCATGACTGGTTATTTGAGCTGCTATTAAGTTATCAATCCACCATAACATGTGGGTGGCATAAATCCTGTTTTCTGGAAGAACCAGAACACACAGGTTGACTAAGCCACAGAAAAACACGCAGAGGGATCTCAAGCGTAAGACCTGAGATGAATGTTCAAGTCACTCTTCCTTTAGCATCAGAAAACTTAGTTTAATAATTTCTGACAATTCTGAGTTAGCTCCTTTAAATAAATTAGATGAGTCTTGCAAAAAAGAAAAGAAAAAAAAGTTTATATAAAGTTGATGATTGAAATGCAAACTTTATACGTCAAGGCGTGACCTGAAGACATCTATTAAACAGCCAAAACAGATAACATGTTTATTTTATCTCTAATGTCTCTCTGTGCCACTCTCCAAAAATGACAGAGCAACTCAGATTAAACATACAGAATATTAGATGAAGAAATCAAAGATATAAACATCTGATGAGGACTTCATATCCTTATTTGAACAAATATATAAAAAGGGAACACTTTGAAGTCAGATGCTTACATGTCAGGCCCAGAAATATAACAACTTAAGAGCAATTTGACATTCATTTTAAAATGTATCGCTTTGAACACTTATCCATCTAATTAGAAAATAACTGTAACAGTCTATTTAAGTTGGGTTACCTGAGTGCAAAAAAATGTATGTTTAAGCACAATGTGCATAGCAGGGGGGTAAATTACATGTCATTGCTCTTTTAGTTATTAACACGTATGATAAAAAAAAATGTGATTCAGGGTACACGGTACATAATCACAGCCTGAAAACCATCAAAAGTGTGTATTAATATTCTTAAGCAGTAAGAAGCTGTACCTTCATTATTTCCTCCAGACGAGAGCTCCTCTTGGATGCAAACAAACTTGGGTGCAGGTAGTTTCCATCCCCATCATCATCATCATCATCGTCGTTAGAATCGTCTGACTTTGATTCTGTTTCAAAAGGGGCAATTGATTGGATTGTTAATTGACTTCAGAAATGTCGCATTTGTTCAGATTTGTTCATTATTCTAAAAACAACTGATTCAATTCAACTTGTTAAATTTTACGATATATATATATATATATATACATAAATATATACTACAAAATGACTGACAAAGTGATAGGATATATACTAGAGCCCGACCGATATATCGTTCTGCCGATATTATCGGCCGATATGAGCCTGTCGCCAATATATCGGTGAATATGCCACCGATATGAACATTTTTTTTACAGAACATGTAATGCAGATAAAATGCTTGAAATGGTGTAATTACTTAGTTTGTCCAGCAGATCGCGCTCCATTGTTTGCTATTGGCGACCTCGATGAAACGCTTTAAAGCTTAAGTCAATGGAAAACCATTGAAACTTTGAACGGCCATATCTCCGTAACTGCGCGGTGAATCCGCACCAAATTCGGGGATCTCTTCAGCTCAAGGAACCCTATCGAACACAAACTGAGTGTATGTCTTGAGGCCCTCTTTCGAATGAGACCACCCCTGCGTGGACAGCCCCCGGGGTTCGGGAGTTACGGGTGGTTAAATTTGCGGTCCGGCGCCGACCGATCTAATGATCCCGGGGTGCTACCGACTCGCGGAGGGTGGCGTTCGAGAGGGCTCCTCGAGCTGAAGGAATCCCCCGAATTTGGTGGAGATCCGCCGGCGCTTTCGTGAGATAGTGACACCAGCCAACACTTTCCCTTCAGTAAGGAGGTTTCTTGTTCAGGCAGCATTCACGCGTTGTCTTATTCGACCGCAAGTGCCCTGCGAAGTGGACTTCACATGAAATTCCGCCATGATTCCAGTTCCAAGGGAACGTACACGTTATATTCAAAGGGCATTAAAGTGCGCGAGACGAGAATTTATATTGTATTTATTTATTTACAGAGGTAGGGGAGATCGGGGCACAAAGTAACACTTTTTGACTTTCTCAGTTTGTGTAGATCCACATGGGGTTCAGAATATATAATGCCCTGCCTCCATCATTACATATCTTTGTCACGTCTTTATAAGTGTTTGATCACCACATTTGAGTGATCATTGCAAAAAATTTGTTTATGTATATATATTCTGTTTATGTATATACTGTATTCTATATATAGTACCAGTCAAATGTTTGGACAGACGAATGGGAAAGTGTCCAAACTTTTGACTGGTACTGTACTATAATATACACAAAGAATATCGGCCGATATATATCGGTATCGGTATTTTTTTACTCCCTAATATCGGTATCGGCCCCAAAAAAAACATATCGGTCGGGCTCTAATATATACTATTGTTCAAATGTTTGGGGTCAATACTATTTTTTATGTTTTTAAGATAAGTCTCTTATACTCCCCATTTATTTGATCAAAAATGCAGTAAAACCACTAATACTGTGAAATATTATTACAATTTAAAATGACTGTTTTCTATTTTAATACATTTTAAAATGTAATTTACTCCTGGGATGGCAAAGCTGAATTTTCAGCAGCCATTACTCCAGTCTTCAGTGTCACACAATCCTTCAGAAATCATTCTAATATGCTGATTTGGTGCTCAAAAACATGTCTTCTTATTATCAATGTTGAAAACTGTTGTGCTTGCTTAATATTTTTGAGGAAACTGTGATTTTTTTTTTTCAGCATTTATTTGAATTTTCTTTGTAACAATGTGACAATGGGGGCAGGTGTGGCGTAAAAGGTGTGTGTTCACGGATTGTGTGTGCGTGTGTGTGTGCACGCGTGTTCGCTACTCACTGCTGTGTGTGTGCACTTGGATGGGATAAATGCAGAGCACAAATTCAAAATATGGGACACCATACTTGGCTACACGTCACCTCACTTTACTTAGAATTTTTAATCAATTTAATGCATCTTTGCTAAATACAAGTATTAATTTCATTTCATCTAACAAACTGAATTATGAAAAGTGGGTGTTCTATACCAAAGCAAATCACCACATTTTGATGAAATATTGCAATTTGCAATTATAAAGTCAAACCGAAGAGCATCCTATGATTTTCAAGAATAGCATTTCCCCCGAAATTTATGTTTGAAATAATGTGCATAAATGAATTGTGGGGAAATAAAGGTGGCCAAAATTTCATATATTTATTATTATTATTTTATGTATATACTGTATTCTATATATAGTACCAGTCAAATGTTTGGACAGACGAATGGGAAAGTGTCCAAACTTTTGACTGGTACTGTACTATAATATACACAAAGAATATCGGCCGATATATATCGGTATCGGTATTTTTTTACTCCCTAATATCGGTATCGGCCCCAAAAAAAACATATCGGTCGGGCTCTAATATATACTATTGTTCAAATGTTTGGGGTCAATACTATTTTTTATGTTTTTAAGATAAGTCTCTTATACTCCCCATTTATTTGATCAAAAATGCAGTAAAACCACTAATACTGTGAAATATTATTACAATTTAAAATGACTGTTTTCTATTTTAATACATTTTAAAATGTAATTTACTCCTGGGATGGCAAAGCTGAATTTTCAGCAGCCATTACTCCAGTCTTCAGTGTCACACAATCCTTCAGAAATCATTCTAATATGCTGATTTGGTGCTCAAAAACATGTCTTCTTATTATCAATGTTGAAAACTGTTGTGCTTGCTTAATATTTTTGAGGAAACTGTGATTAAGTCTCTTATACTCCCCATTTATTTGATCAAAAATGCAGTAAAACCACTAATACTGTGAAATATTATTACAATTTAAAATGACTGTTTTCTATTTTAATACATTTTAAAATGTAATTTACTCCTGGGATGGCAAAGCTGAATTTTCAGCAGCCATTACTCCAGTCTTCAGTGTCACACAATCCTTCAGAAATCATTCTAATATGCTCATTTGGTGCTCAAAAACATGTCTTCTTATTATCAATGTTGTGCTTGCTTAATATTTTTGAGGAAACTGTGATATTTTTTTTTTCAGCATTTATTTGAATTTTCTTTGTAACAATGTGACAATGGGGGCAGGTGTGGCGTAAAAGGTGTGTGTTCACGGATTGTGTGTGCGTGTGTGTGTGCACGCGTGTTCGCTACTCACTGCTGTGTGTGTGCACTTGGATGGGATAAATGCAGAGCACAAATTCAAAATATGGGACACCATACTTGGCTACACGTCACCTCACTTTACTTAGAATTTTTAATCAATTTAATGCATCTTTGCTAAATACAAGTATTAATTTCATTTCATCTAACAAACTGAATTATGAAAAGTGGGTGTTCTATACCAAAGCAAATCACCACATTTTGATGAAATATTGCAATTTGCAATTATAAAGTCAAACCGAAGAGCATCCTATGATTTTCAAGAATAGCATTTCCCCCGAAATTTATGTTTGAAATAATGTGCATAAATGAATTGTGGGGAAATAAAGGTGGCCAAAATTTCATGGCAAATTGATCAACTGTAACAAGTGAAAAGATTACCCTGTTTCTGGTCCTGCTTGCCCTCTGATGCCGGTGTGTATCTCCCCTCCTTCATAGCTCGTAAAATATGTTTGTAGTAAGGGTTCAGGTAATGGTCGAACCGCAGGAAATCAAACTGGGAGTTCCCAGCCTGCTTTGCCTTCAGCACAATTTCAAATTGGGCCCCCTGCTTGCATACAAAGATGGCGGTGCGCTCAATAATAGCGTGCGTCTTGGTGGTTGCAGGCTGAAATAGATGGCAAAGAAATGGGGTAAACAAGACTGAAATTCTGATTAAGCTTATAAGAGAATATGCCATTTTAAAAAATAAAGATTAATTAGAAAATTTGTATAGGGAAAAATGGGTATAGAACATTTATCATCAATTACTCCAGGTACAGGATTTTCTAGCTACTGCAGTTCACACACAAACAATTTGTGTGTGAGTGTGGGCTGGAGCTCCATGAATCTAACCAGGGAAGTCATTAATTCATTTCCAGCTACACATGCAGATTTAAAATGGTCACAAATCTTTCAAGATGCAGACAAAATCATATCCATGTGCTGAGCTGATTTATGGCAATGTCGTATTTTAAATGACAAATTACATCAATAGTGCTCCAAATGACACATATCCTTCATTAGAAGGAAGCATGAATATTGCATGAGAAGAACTTTTCGAAGGGCTGCACTTTAGCTCCAATGTCCAGGTAAACAGAGAATCTATTGCTTTCAAAGCCCCTGAGACCAAGGGAGTCAAATAATGACTTGCTAATTTGAAGATAAACAACCCAACGTTTGTCTTCAAAATCGGATTATTTTGTTTCTTCAAGCTATGTGCTGTACAATAAGCAAGGTAATCAGAGCAGCTGAAGATTAATAATTCACAAGGCTCCTTCAAAGAACCTCTCAGACTTGAAACTAATTGGGGTTTCCAAGGCTGAGAAACTGAAGGTTTCCACTAATTCTCCAACCCTGAGACAAATATCACTCCCTCCACCAAAAAAAAAAGTGCTGGTTGGGGTATGTGGCAAGTGGCTCACTGGATGGTGAAGTATTTATGTTGCTATGTTTCCAGTAGGCCAGTAGGGAAAGCACTGACAAATCCCTGGTTTAAGAGGATAAAAGGAGGAGCATCGAGACTCCTGAGCTTTTAGGGAAGTATAATTTGGTGGGATCAACGTGCTTTCAGCTACAGGCACAGAAAAAATTATCAGTGATTGTTGTGTGGCTCCCAAACGAGGAATCCTGTGGAGATAAATGCCCATGTCTAGTTTGTATAGATTTACGTTTACATGCCACCGTGTGCAGTCTGGTTACACAATGGAAGATCTTTATAGCTCAATCAAAATCAGAAACTTCTGAATAAAAAAAGAACAGAGAATAGAGTCTTTACTTGCCACGCAGTCATAAATGGCCTCTTGCAGAGTGCAAATCAACAATCTTTCGGATTAAGTTATGAGACATCCAACAATAGAAATGCAAATGAAATACATATTCAATCAAAATATGTAGGTAATGGTGATTACAAGTAAGGATGCACAATACATTGGTTCCATAATTATCTGCAAATATTAGAGACTTTAATTTTACATAAAGAGGTTCACCCAAAATCTGTCATCATTTACTTACCCTCAAGCTGTTTCAAACCTGTATGAATTTCTTACTTCTGCTGAACACAAAAGATATGCTATTTTGAAGAATGTTGGAAAAAAAAAAAAGTTTTGGAGCAACCTGAGGGTGAGTAAATGATGACAAAAACCACCCCTTTAATTGATCTGCATCGCCGATATTGGATATTTAATAGTGCGCTCATTTCCCAGATTCTTAATCGTCATTTAACTCAAAGTTAATCTTTAAAAAATCTACTATATTTAATCTTCAGCAAATCTCCATATTATAATGACGCCTAATTCACTTGTAGCATTAAAAAATTATTGATTTTAGTTTTTAGTGCATTATTTTAATTTATTTAGAGAAAATATTATTGAATCCATAGAAGCCATTGGCCATTTATCTATTAAAGGCCATAAAATGAAAATAATTACTGTTTTATGCAGTAGCCCTTCACTTAAGAACAAAGATCCAGGGGGCGGGGTTGGATCCACATCTAGGGGGTGGAGATGGTAGGTTTAGGGGTGGAGATGGGTGGGTTTAGGTATATGTAAGGTGGGAGGAGTTGGATCTGGATCTAACCTCGCCCCCTGGATCTTGTGTTCTGCAGTGAGGACCATCTCGTTTTATGGGTATCGACCAGAATTGTACTACTGGTGTAACCCAAAGTGAAACTGTGTAAAATATACTTCATAATCTTCTCACCAGCTCTACATCCGAAGGGATGAGGAGGCCAGGGGGCGCCACAAACGGCTCCTCACTCTCTTCCTCCTGCTGCTCTTGATCTGAGAGAAGGGCAAAGGTGGGAAAACAGAATGAACAAACAATATCAGATCAGCAAGGCAAAAGAATCACAAAGAAGCACAGTTTCTGGAGCAGGAAGAGAAACACACACACACCCGGTGCAACTATTTGCAACTATTGCAACTAAAACTTTTTTTTAACTAAGGGCGCTTTAAAAGAAATAGAGGCACTTTAGATTTCATTTTAAGTTACTACAACTTTCTGAGAGACCACAAGCCCCGTCAGCTCTGTTTACTACTGCTGCCTCTATGCACCCTTCCACCCTCTGCCTCCACGAATTGGCCAAGACAGGTACAAGCAAATTAAAATTTGATGCGGAATTCAGTGTGAAGGGAAATGGGGGCAGAAGATGGAAACACATTGCTGGTGCATTAATGTCCAACGATACTTGGGAAATAATCAAATCTAGTAGTTACAAAGTGCCACATTAGTTGCTCTATTAAATCAAACAGCACTTCTAAACCTATCCAGCAAATAGTGTCACGTGATCTTTTTTTTTTTTTTTTACATTGATTGTTACAAATGCAACCTAGCAATCTAATCATCCCACATAGTCTCAGAAAGCTTTGAGTAAATGGCATACGGTCTGATCCAAACTTCAGACTATTTTGGCCCACTTAGACTTAATGAGATCATCAGAATGGCATCTAAATGACCAACCATGGTTTGTTTTGTTTTTAGGTTTACGTTTATACAACAAAAATAGACTGGCAATAAAACATGGCATTTGGTTGTAATATAACAATTAATTTATAACAAAACATCACATTTTAAATTTTTGTCAAATAAAATGTTCCACAACAGAACTGTATAAATGAAAACAAATTAACATCTTGGTTATAAGATATTCCTTAATATTATTAATACTACTTTGAGAAGTCAATTTTAGTATACACCATTAGGGCTGTCAAAATGGCTGAAAAACTCAATTAAAATTTTTTACTTAAATATTATCAATATTCGAATTATATTCAAATTTAAAAGGCATAATTTCAGTTAGGGGGAAAAAAACTTATGGCTTCTCTCCTGAGGCCACAAGAGGGTGTCATCATGCATGTATGTATAGTTTAATACAAAGGACCGAAATCCAATCACAAAGAGCACTTTCTTCATTTAAAAACCTGAGATGCAGTGGGATGGGGAAAACCGCCATAAAGTCTTGACATGTTTTTTAAAAGTTGAACTTGCATTAATTTTACATAGCTTTCTAAACATGCAGCTCACTTGTGTGAGATGCGAGTGCAATGGTGACAGATGTCCCTCTAGATAGAAAATGCGATAAATATGCGTTCTGTGTGTACGGCTTGGTTTCGGTTTTGAGATAAACAACATCTTCCCCGCATTGATTGTTCTCTTTCTCTGCAATATTTTGAATGAACAACATAGCAGCGCCGCATCTAGTGGGTTCAACTGGATTGGCTAAGAAAAGCATTAAAATACAATGACACTTAGCCTACATCGTCTTCGCATTTCGTGCGCCACTGATAAGGCTGCCTGACACACACCTAAAATTCTAATGCAACGTTTTTGCATTCGAATGTGGATTTTTATTTTAAATTCGACGAATATTAGAAATTCAATTTTTTTTTGACAGCCCTACACACCAGCAATATATTTCTGTCATAATTTTTTCAAGTTAAACCATACTTTTATTTTGGTGGTTTGTCACAAAGATCTTTGAGTTTCAGTGTGTATTTAACTGCAGGTTGCCTGAAATTAAGTGGCGAAAAGCTTGTGAAGTAGGGCTGTAAAACTGAATAATCATTTCCAAAATAAAAGTATAAGTTACTACAACTTTCTGAGAGACCACAAGCCCCGTCAGCTCTGTTTACTACTGCTGCCTCTATGCACCCTTCCACCCTCTGCCTCCATGAATTGGCCAAGACAGGTACAAGCAAATTAAAATTTGATGCGGAATTCAGTGTGAAGGGAAATGGGGGCAGAAGATGGAAACACATTGCTGGTGCATTAATGTCCAACGATACTTGGGAAATAATCAAATCTAGTAGTTACAAAGTGCCACATTAGTTGCTCTATTAAATCAAACAGCACTTCTAAACCTATCCAGCAAATAGTGTCACGTGATCTTTTTTTTTTTTTTTTACATTGATTGTTACAAATGCAACCTAGCAATCTAATCATCCCACATAGTCTCAGAAAGCTTTGAGTAAATGGCATACGGTCTGATCCAAACTTCAGACTATTTTGGCCCACTTAGACTTAATGAGATCATCAGAATGGCATCTAAATGACCAACCATGGTTTGTTTTGTTTTTAGGTTTACGTTTATACAACAAAAATAGACTGGCAATAAAACATGGCATTTGGTTGTAATATAACAATTAATTTATAACAAAACATCACATTTTAAATTTTTGTCAAATAAAATGTTCCACAACAGAACTGTATAAATGAAAACAAATTAACATCTTGGTTATAAGATATTCCTTAATATTATTAATACTACTTTGAGAAGTCAATTTTAGTATACACCATTAGGGCTGTCAAAATGGCTGAAAAACTCAATTAAAATTTTTTACTTAAATATTATCAATATTCGAATTATATTCAAATTTAAAAGGCATAATTTCAGTTAGGGGGAAAAAAACTTATGGCTTCTCTCCTGAGGCCACAAGAGGGTGTCATCATGCATGTATGTATAGTTTAATACAAAGGACCGAAATCCAATCACAAAGAGCACTTTCTTCATTTAAAAACCTGAGATGCAGTGGGATGGGGAAAACCGCCATAAAGTCTTGACATGTTTTTTAAAAGTTGAACTTGCATTAATTTTACATAGCTTTCTAAACATGCAGCTCACTTGTGTGAGATGCGAGTGCAATGGTGACAGATGTCCCTCTAGATAGAAAATGCGATAAATATGCGTTCTGTGTGTACGGCTTGGTTTCGGTTTTGAGATAAACAACATCTTCCCCGCATTGATTGTTCTCTTTCTCTGCAATATTTTGAATGAACAACATAGCAGCGCCGCATCTAGTGGGTTCAACTGGATTGGCTAACAAAAGCATTAAAATACAATGACACTTAGCCTACATCGTCTTCGCATTTCGTGCGCCACTGATAAGGCTGCCTGACACACACCTAAAATTCTAATGCAACGTTTTTGCATTCGAATGTGGATTTTTATTTTAAATTCGACGAATATTAGAAATTCAATTTTTTTTTGACAGCCCTACACACCAGCAATATATTTCTGTCATAATTTTTTCAAGTTAAACCATACTTTTATTTTGGTGGTTTGTCACAAAGATCTTTGAGTTTCAGTGTGTATTTAACTGCAGGTTGCCTGAAATTAAGTGGCGAAAAGCTTGTGAAGTAGGGCTGTAAAACTGAATAATCATTTCCAAAATAAAAGTATGTTTACATAATATATGTTTGTGTGCGCTGTGTATATTTATATGTAAATACACACCCATACATGTATATATATAAGAAATATATGTTCTTTAGGGGCTTCTTGCAACTAGGCACTGGTACCCCAAAACATGGCTTTATTTCCAGATGGATTGATAAAAAAAAAAAAAAACACTTGTGCCCTTATTCTTGAAAGTTGTCTAAAGCCAGACAATCAGATCAGAGCTCACCACATCCAGAAAGTACTTTCCAATTTTGTGGGTAATATCAAATGGTCAATGAAAGGACTTCGGGGCATGACATCTGAGGCTGATGATTGTGAATGCATTTTCTCTGATGCTGAGGGGTAAAGAAAATTGACTGGCTTCCAGTTCAGCACCTACAAAATGTATGACTTCATCACAGTCACAGTAAGAAAAAGACATCAATGCTACTAGTTGACTGTGTGTGTGTGTGTGTGTAATAAATCAGTGGATAAAGACTATGCGCCGTGGGCCAAGTCTTGTTATCTGCAGAGTCCTGGTGCGAGCAGGTGTGAATGAGGAGTACAAAAGCATCGAGGGTGATTACTGTTTGTTTTAGAAACTCATTTGTCACCAAATTTCTGCTTGACAAGCTCGGAGGACTCAAACTAATTCCAGGCTCCTGTATTTATAAAGCAATCAGCCATGGAGTGTGATGTTTTTGCTAAAACCCTGTAGTGGTGAACCGCTGGACCTTGCTGGTCATTAATAGTCTCTGCATATCCACTGCCTCCCTCGCTCAGTCTTTAAAAAACGTTGAGCTTTTCAGTGCCTTGGGGCTCAAAAATTATACTTATTTGACCTAAGGGAAATGGCCTCTTTTCATCCCGGAGCATTTTGAAGTTCGTAGGCTAAAGTACGCACAGAAACTTGTCTCAGAACCCAAATCTCCTCAGGCAGACTTACAAGCAGCATTTCAAAGTAAGTACGTGGGTTTTGAGGTTGTGTGGTTACTAGACTTGTACAGATCCCACCTGCTTCTTTGCTGGCCTCATCTTCCTCAGTAGGCTGGGAGGGATCATAGTAGTCAGCGCTGTAACGGAAGGCCACTGCGTTGTAGGTGCCTTCATCGGCCAAGGCTTCGCTCAGCCTTTTATACTCCTCCTCTGCAAACAAAAAAAGATTCACAGGAAAAATTCACATGAAAAAAAAAAAAGTTATTTCTCAATTTACTGCAGTGCTCATCATCCTCCAACAAAAACTGATTAAACAAATTATTACTGAACTAGCCTAATTCAGATAGAAACGCCAAACTTTTAAAAATATTTTTCTATCCTTAGGTGAGGTTTCTATTTGGGTTTTACATACACCATTCAAAAGTTTGGTCAGATTTTATGTTTTTGAAAGTCTCTTACATTCACCGAGGCTGCATTGATTTGATCAAAAACACATAAAAAACAGTAACATTGTGAAATATTTAAAATAACCATTTTCTGTATAAATATATTTTAAAAAGTTATTCCTGTGATGGCAAAGCTGAATTTTCAGCAGCCATTACTTCTTCAGTGTCCTTCAGAAATCATTATTATATGGTCATTTATTGGTCATTTGTGAAAACCATCATATATTTTATAACACACACTATTATATATATTATTCATTAAATAAAAAAAATATATATAATAATATTAAATAAATAAAATTAACAGTGATAGTTCACCCAAAAAGAAAAAAAATCTGTCATCATTTACTCACACTCATGTTGTTTCAAACCTATATCATGACTTTCTTTTATGGAAGATAAAAGAAAAAAAATGAAGAATGTTGGTAACCAGAAGAAAAAAAAGAATGTTGGTAACCAAGCTGATTTGGTTACCAGTGACTTCCATTGCATGAACAAAAAATATGGAGATGTTTCTCAAATTATCTTCTTTTATGTTCCATAGGCAATGATAGGCTGTTGTAGCCTAAATGTTTATGTGTAATAAAAATATGTTGAATTAAATATAACATTGTGAAATATTTAAAATAACCATTTTCTGTATAAATATATTTTAAAAAGTTATTCCTGTGATGGCAAAGCTGAATTTTCAGCAGCCATTACTTCTTCAGTGTCCTTCAGAAATCATTATTATATGGTCATTTATTGGTCATTTGTGAAAACCATCATATATTTTATAACACACACTATTATATATATTATTCATTAAATAAAAAAAATATATATAATAATATTAAATAAATAAAATTAACAGTGATAGTTCACCCAAAAAGAAAAAAAATCTGTCATCATTTACTCACACTCATGTTGTTTCAAACCTATATCATGACTTTCTTTTATGGAAGATAAAAGAAAAAAAAATGAAGAATGTTGGTAACCAGAAGAAAAAAAAGAATGTTGGTAACCAAGCTGATTTGGTTACCAGTGACTTCCATTGCATGAACAAAAAATATGGAGATGTTTCTCAAATTATCTTCTTTTATGTTCCATAGGCAATGATAGGCTGTTGTAGCCTAAATGTTTATGTGTAATAAAAATATGTTGAATTAAATAATAAATTTCTTTCTAAAGCTACTTTTTTTCTCATGTAACACAATAATGGCTAATTATCTTTGGTGGTATTTTCACAGCCAAATTTAATTTGCGATTAATTCGATTAATTAATCACCACATCATGTAGGCCTAACTAATTCGATTAAAAATGTTAATCGACTGACAGCCCTAACATACATATATACAGTATCTCACAGAAGTGAGTACACCCCTCACATTTTTGTAAATATTTTGTGATGTTGTGATGTCATGTGACAACACTGAAGAAATGACACTTTGCTAACAGTGTAAATTTGCTGTCCCCTCAAAATAACTCAACACACAGCCATTCATGTCTAAACCGCTGGCCACACAAGTGAGTACACCCCTAAGTGAAAATGTCCAAATTGGGCCTAATTAGCCATTTTCTCTCCTCGGTGTCATGTGACTCATTAGTGTTACAAGGTCGCAGGTGTAAATGGGGAGCAGGTGTGTTAAATTTGGTGTTATCGCTCTCACTCTCTCATACTGGTCACTGGAAGTTCAATGTGGCATCTCATGGCAAAGAACTCTGAGGATCTGAAAAAAAGATCTGTTGCTCTACATAAAGATGGCGTAAGCTATAAGTAGATTGCCAAGACCCTGAAACTGAGATGCAGCACCGTGACCAAGACCATACAGCGGTTTAACAGGACAGGTTCCACTCAGAACAGGTCTCGCCATGGTCGACCAAAGAAGTTGAGCGCACGTGCTCAGC